CATGTATACAAAAGAAAACACACTACAAAAAGATCCACCTTTGTCATTTCCATAAGTTTCTCAATAGGTTTCTACTTGTTTTATAATCCAGCCAAAACATTTAATAAAGTAAATAAATTGAGGAATATGTAAAAGCTAAAGTTACGTATGTGCATGATTTTTTCGGTGATTTAACAGTTTTTTTAGCTTAAAACACCACTTACTGCACATAAAAGACAATAGTTAAAGTAAAAGGGGAGCTACATACACTTTTAAATCCGGAATAAACCAGCATCTGCCCAAGTAGCTCCTATTTCCTCTGCCAACTCTGTAAATGGAAGCAATCTACTCCGCATTTGCCGTGTTATCTCCAAAGATAATTTGGTCTTGGAGTTAGAGTATTTACATTATTCTGACTCATTTTTTCAAAGCATTTCATTGTCTTAAAACACAGAATTGTTCAACTGTTGGTAAAGTGAACAGGAAGTTAACTGCTATAAACAACTGGAAAAAATAAGAATAATTTTATCAAAGATTTATAAGAGCTTGGTCATTATACCAAAGACCTTTTGGGCCATTATAAACATAGATTAAAGGTAAACATCTTTTGCAACATAATATTTGTATTATTGCTTGACGCAAAATTTTTTTTTGACTATTGTACATTGAGAGTCCAAAGTATGACACAATCTTCCTCAAAAGCTCCCTAAAAACTCCCCCTTGTACCTCTAAGATCAAGCCCCCCAGAAGCCCCCCCCTGAGAAACCTCATACCGAAGTGAGACAATTTCTTAGTCAGGCTCGCAAAGAGGCAACGTTGTTCAGGCCATGCAGCATATCAAAAACCTAAATATGGCTTCAACAGGAAGCAGGCTAGTTATTTCACGGAAGATACATACGGAAAATAAACCGGGAAATTAACAAATCTGAAAATCAAGTGGCTATCAAATACACCACTAAAACTTCCTGCTTTTTCATCTACTACCAGGCACTGGCCAGCAAGAAACACAGACTCCCAGTACCTTCAAAGTCTGCGCTTGTTATATGGGTACTGTATGTAAATCAATGCAATTATTATATTCACTTTCAGCCCGTTGATTATATTCTCGAGGTCAGTGTTGAGTTTGTGAATTGCTTCTTTTATGAAATCAGGCTCAAACGGGAAGTGCAACTGAGAATCATCTGCACACAAAAGTGCTATATAGGCCTGCAAACAGCTGGTGATGCCAGCTGTGTAAAGTGTAAAGAGCCCAAACACCTGCCTCAAGAACACCATATTGTATGACGAGGGGTTCCAATGTCGCATTTCCAAGTTTAACCTATTAAGATTAACCTGTCGTCGGTCGTTGAGATCGCAACAAATCCAGATAGTTATATCATGACTAAATACAGAAATAGTAAATTTTCACAATCTTTATTCATTGAGTCTAAATCCCAAGAGTAGTCAAGTGCAATAAGTGAGGTATATCTATACTACTTTTATCTTTATTATTTACCATATCACATAAACTATTTTCCAATGTAGGCCTAGTACGGGTGAAATAATTATTTATGCATCCTGACTGCATTTTAGGAAATGTGATGATTCTTATTAATACATTCCGTTATATGAGTATCAATTATCTTATCTAGGACTTTAAAAGATTGTTTTGATTTTTTAGGATTTTGGGAAGGTTTTTTTAGGACTAACTATAGACGTTGCTTTCTTAACTGGTCTGACAATGGTTTTCTTATTCGCTTCTGGGATTGTTGTATTGATTGGGAATCATTCACGAGATACGCTATCGATCCAAATGGAATTGCACTCACGCCCACTTTCTAGTTAATGACGAAGAAAAAAAGTTTTACTATAATACTACACCATTAAATGCTTGAAATCCAATTGAGAGGAGATCCAATAAAAAAGAAAGATTTCCTTTATTGAAATCCAATAAAGGAGATGATTTCATTTTGCACAAATCTTGGAATCTCTAAAACGTCTTGTTTTCACCTATCTTAGGCTACTTAAGCTCGATGCAGACAATGCTTCTAGATAATTTACCATACGTGTGACCTTTTAACGTGATGAGCTCCTGAGTGAATTAATCAGAGATGCTACAATCTGTGAATAAGAACATCGTACGTAGTGATTTTCCTTCCTTTTTATAAGTTGACCATGTAGAGAAAAATTACAAACAAATTGAGAAACCAATTGTATCATAGTGCCTTCAAACGCAAAGGTCGATGAACCGATTTCAAGTGATATTGATTCTAGATCCAGATACCATTATTGCCATTGAGCTACTAAATTCGTATGCTGTCCTATAAAGGTCATTTCTCGATACCAAACGACCAAGGTGTTGACCAATTCATTACAATAACATACAAAATAACAATAGCATAGAAAAAACTTTTCATAAACATAAATACACATTTCTTATAGAAAAATAAAAATCTCTCAAACAGTACCAGTGCCTATTATAAGACTGAATTTAGAAGTCTTGTGGTGATAGAAAGCGTTGATGAAGAACAATAATAACTACCAGTTAAAGCAGTGGGTTTTATCAACAACTATAATAAAGCTAGAACATTTTCTTGGGTAGGCCTACATACTAAAGCTAAGTAGACCTACGGATATCTGGATTGCATACTTGAGTGTCTGAATACGCAATAACCAAGTATACATAATGCATATTAAAGTTTGAGTTTTAAGAGGACTGAGATTTCGCGAGAAACTCTTGATTACCCTAATTTTCACGAAGAGCGTAATTCATCACTGTTTGCTTCACTGAAAGCGATAGCAACGTCTGGAAACATCGTTAATCAAAGTCTGGTACAGGACAGCTGACGTATTCGGCAGAATGATTTTACCGCGATAAAGTGCTATCTCGTTTAGTGAAATCTTCTCAATACTCTTTTAAAAATAAAAACAAAAAGATTTTCAAACTTGTAATTACAAATGTGTCATACTCATAACCTGATAAACATACCGTCACCATTTCGTTTTACTGTAGTTTGTATGCAGTTTATAGTCTACCTAAAAAGATTTGTATTATAGAGTTAGATAAAAATTGGATCCATGCAGAAACCCAACGTTAATAGAAGTTATATTGTTTACCAACCAAAGGATTATTCGTGGTTCATTGTTTAATAGACAATTATTGTGTTAGTTATCTTACAATCGTTGTTTTTGTTTCTATTTGGATATTCTCCAGGTGTCAAATAAAACGCGTAACATATTAAAAACCCTTATTAGCACGAAACAATCTAAAATAAACATTATAATGAGTTTGCAGATATCAAAGAATAATTTATGAACTATTAAAAAATATACTCAAGATTATACTAAAAAAATTTCATCACTCCGTCCAGCCTAGCTAGCCTGTGATATCCCGTTTTGTCATGTAGCTGTAGGAAAACGATATTGATTGATGTCACGTAATGCCATTTATTGATAAATTGAACACTGTATTACCAATCAATGTTTTGTACACAACAGTTTACAACGTTTTGCATCACACACAATAAAAACCTTTACAAATTGATTCAAGACATTGAGTTTGTTTGGTCGAAACAGTCGAATGTAGTCCGTAGAAAGCGACTGAGGTATAACGTTCGTAGACGGAGTGATGTCAATAGTGACTGACCTTGACTGAGTCTGAGTCAGCTGTTTTCAGCTTGACTGTCACATATTGTAAACAACTACCTCTTCCGTTGTCTACTAGTTATTGCCTAAGTAATATGAAGTAAGTAAGTATGTTGAGAATAGGCTTTTCTCAGACAATCATTAGTACACTACCTTGCTTACTCTTATTCCAATGTTCTGAAATAAAACTAGTTTTGTAATATGTTTAAAAAAGTCTATTGCAGTTGGTATTTTACTGGCTTACTCAAGCAGCTTTAATGATTTTTTTCGATACTATTTATGTTTTATTATTGTCAACAACATGGCAACCAATAGAGCAAATGTTGATAGTTTTAAAATATGAACTTATAAAATTGTTTGCAAATATACACTTAACTTGCCACAAGCCTCTTTGAAGACTTATTTTTTTAGCAAAAACAAAAAGTCAATCCCTACATCATTAATTTGATTATATTACCTGTGCTGCATATGTATAAAAGAATAGGTACGGAGTGTCCTTAAAGTCTTAGTCTGATAAGGAAACCGCATAGTATGAAAACGGTTGTTAGTAGGATAAAGATTCAATTACAGATATAACAGGTAACTTATAAAGATTGTATAACTATGTACAAACGTGATGTATAACTCTACGTGTGCTTCTCCAGTGGCCTGCAGATCTTCTATACATCTTTTCAGTTTGTCCCAGGTTTAAGTCAGCATATCCTGGGTTACAGATGCCACATAATTATTGATTTTCTCCTGCAGTGTGTGTAAATTAGGATCCGGGATACACAAGAATACACAATGTCCTTGACAAATCCCCACAAAAAGAAATCCATGGGGTTACATCAGGGGAACAAGGTGGGCATTTCGTCGGGCCATCACGCCCGATCCAGCGTTCGGGGAAGTGGAGGATGAAAAAATCCCTCAAACGTCTTTATGGAAATTTATCATAGGTTTTTGTTTTCTAATTGAGTGACTACGAACATCTCCAACATATCAAAGTTATCAAAACAAAATATAAATCTTCTTCCGCAAAGATAAATGGTCCAATGATTCCATCATGCATTACACCGCACCAAAGATTTAGTTTTGGACTATCCCTTTCATTTTCATCCACGATCCTGGGATTTTCACTCCCCCAAACTCTACAATTATTGTGTCTGATATTTCCCACTTAAATGGAAGGTCGTTGAACTGCTATAGGGGATTGGGTTTCAATAATATCACATTTATATCACAATGTTCTTAAAAATACAATAGAATTTCAACACTTCTTTTTAAAATAAACTTATATATTTTCAATGAACTCTTGTATTTGATTTAGTTATCTGAACCAACGATAAACATAACTGTGGAAAACATTCGTCACGATGTGATGTCCAATATTGGTCTTTGTTATCGCTAGTGAGTGTTGACGAATGTTGACAGCTGATAATGACTCAAGCATCAGCTGATCGAATGCCAAGTAACTTCTGCGAACTGTGAATGGTTGATTCTCATTCTTATAGAGGAGACTGTTGCAGCTACTTCGTTCTTTTCTCGGTAAGAGTATATTTTAGTGGTGATTGGCTTATTCAGGTTACATTTTATAACCAACATGATTTACTGTAGAATAAATACATATTTGTTTAGTAGGCTAAATTCTTAATATGCTACAATAATTAGATCAAGGTACAGTGTTTCCTAAATGCTGCAAGAGAATAGTAATCTGATTGCATAACGCATATGTTATGAACCACATAAAGGGTTTCATCATTTTTGTTCAATTTTAAAATTTTTATTAATAGCTTTTCATTAACCTACTGTTGTGAGTCACTGTATAATTTACTATTGTATGGCTTGGTTTAAGACAGTCTGAGTTATGTTTCAAAAGCTATAGAAACTTTGATTGGACCTCAGCATGCTATGTATAATTAATAATTTGTAATCAAGATTGATACAATTTTATTTTACTGCTGCGTGTTGGCACTACTGTAATTCTAAAAGCCTTAATGTATTATGTGTTTAAAACATTATTTTAAAGTTTGTATGCAGTAATATATCGTAAACATTTTCACAATATTAGATTAATCATGGTTTATTGCAGGGAAATCTAAAGAAGAATATAAGATAAGGATATACGTAACAATGTACTTAACATTTAAATCAAATTCATAAATATTTATAAAGTAGCTTTGGATAACAACACAAATAAAAGTAAAAAAAAAAACTAAAGATTTTCCAGAAGATTTGCTAATAAAACCAAGATATCCTTGGTATTCAAATAACTAAAAATGCAGTAAACGCATTAAGGTGATGTGATTCTTTTAGTTTTGAACCCCCTCGCTTTAATTAAGTTATGTGTAACTTAAAGCTCTTGCTACAGATTTAAAGCTGTGTACCATTTTACAGGTACGAAACATTATTATTGCTGTTAACAATGAAACAAGTTTTTACCATTGGAGCTCTTCTCATCTGCTTCACAATGGTGAGTGTTTAATATTCATTGCGCGTCACCTTTCTCGGGTCTTTTATTAGTCGATAAAATGAAATAAGAATTATTTTGAGGTTCGTTTGATGTTAATTGTCTTAGTTTAATCCAAAATTGAACTGAAGTTTACATACAATATATGTGTGCATTGAATGGTTAAATACCTTACGGCTGGATTAGTATTAAATATGACAAAAATGTGTTAGACTGTAAACATTTATATAAGTATATGTTATTATGAATAGGTTTCAATTTTTAAAATTGATTTATACATTATAACCTCATATACTGTAATTTGTATAGCGAAACATACACAATCTCAGTTACCTTTAAATACTTCAGTGTTAAGAGAAAATCCCAAGAGTTGCCCACAAAAAACGTTTGTATCTCTTTTGTACAATCTATATACTTATTTAATACGCAAGCAGTTTTTTTTGCGACAATTACTCCTCCGAAACTACTGAACCGATTGACATGTTTTTGGTGTCATTGGAAAGAGCGTAACGTGAAGTTGTGCAGGAAACTTTCTTTTTAGGGAAATAATTAGAGAGTGAGGCCCTGGGGCCCTTTAAAGTTTCGTATTTCTCCATAAGATTAACATGGGGAAAAAATTGTCATGAAACTCCAGCTGTTGCCAAAAATTAAAAGTGAGAAGAAGAACATATTTTTTTGATTGTAAACAGTCAATAAGTTTGCGAATTTAACAGTTTGTTACAAACATTTACTGACTTGGTTGAAATTAAATATTTACCATTTGAATTTGGTTTGGCGTAAATATTACCATGGAAAAAACGAGAGAGCCTGTATAAATTGATATACTAAAAGAAAACCTAATTAACACTGTGCTGCATTACTTAGTAATCATTGAAAGAGCCTATTTTCAAACTATGGAAACATATGAAAGTCATAGAACACCACCAAGGAGAAGAAATAGAAATAATGTTTTTTTTTTATTTATAATCCTTTTTATGGACAACCTAATGCAGCTTTTGAAAAATGATAAGATGTATACAAGTAATGTTGATTATATAGACCTGTTATATAGGCCCTACATCTTGAGCATTTTCATAATCTTTGAGTCGAATCTTAGTCATCAGAAATTATGGATGTTATTTGTTTTAAAATAACGCCTGTAATACTTAGCAATTGCTCGAATTCAAGCAACAGGGACACTAGTTATTATAATTCTGTAAGACAAAATTTGTACTGCTGATTTTTGTTTACTTCAATACAGCTGATCGTGATTTATCATCAAGCCAGTACGCAACGTTAACATTTGGATTACTTATTTGCCAATCAATTCTGCAATGTACTATATAAAACCAGGGATAACGTTACCTATAATAGTTAAGACTTTTATTTACGTTATAGAATTTTGAAATCAATAATTTTACTGTGAAACTTTTCAAATTTGTGTATTTTTAACGTTTAACATGAAATAACCACATTGACTAAATAACTAACGGTTCAAGATTAAATGTAAAACTTCTGATTTGTTTTTATTTCATAACATATGTTCAAGATTTATTCTACACTTTCTTTGTAAATTACTAACAGAATTTTGAATTTGAGATTTATTGTCAATATTTTGTATGAAGTGGAATAACCTCAACGGCCACTCTTAGAAAATAACCTGGGAATAAAGATGGAATAGGTGCGTACAGGAAATATATTTGTTAGTTAAGTATGTACTATGGCAAGTTCCAATGGGCGCAAAAACAATATTGTTTGGAGATTTTAAACAGGTACCGTCTCTTGCTCTAAACAAAAAAGGTTTCAGTAATATAGCCTAGCGTGTATCAATCAATTAATTATCAATCAATTATCAATTATTTAAGATGGGGACGCCACTATGTGCGTATTTTAACCCAAATATGAGTGAAGGATGAGTGTAGGATGAGTGGCGCGATCTTGAAGTCTTGTTAGTGACTAAGGCCGACATGTTCCTTAGACACAGCTGTTAATTAATAGCCCATACAGCTAATGGCAACTAAGGGACCTACAGTTTATTGTGGAATCCGAACCACATTTTTTCCTCGTAATTAACGAATTGGTCTAATTATTTAGGATAGTACTGCGGATAGTCGTAGTACTCACTAGTGCGGACGTTAATCCACACCAGGTAGCATCGCATCCACAGTGCATCCCTATAATTATCCACAATTCGTGACCTCCTAGTAGCTGGGTATGGTTTATAAGAGTAAAGGGAGCATCCAAATATAACAGTAAAACTTAGAGGCAGTTTCCATTTCTTTACGTTGCTTAAACAAACCAAAAATATTCATGTTAATGCTGAAGAAAAGTAATTTCGTTATTGGTTTCGATAACTGGGTAATGGAACCCTAACCAGTCACAAAAGAGTTAGGAATCAGCCGATGGTTAGGCCTATTTTGATAGAATGTGTAAAGTTAATCGCACCTTTAAGGAATACCACCACATAAACTTACACTAACTGCAGTTTTTATTTTAAGAAAACAAATCTAGGGTTGAGTTTAGTCAATGGGATGCCTTTACTTTACACTAATTTTGTTAAACCTTAACACAAGGAGTATAAACTTAGAAATATTAACTGGTCAGGGATTCTAATTTAGCAGCTTTTACCAAGCTTACCTCAACACTCCTTTATTTGCTTTTTCATATTTGACGAAGACAATTTCCAAAATTCCAATTAGGGAAGGCTTTTTATCACCATTAAGCACAAAACCAAAGCTACCCTAATAAACCAGTATTTAGGCCTATTCACAAACAATTATATCTTTGCTGCCTTTAGCAGAGTTAAACCTATGGAGTGATTCAAATTATTAATTGAAAATAACATCAACAAAAGCAAATTCTTCTCATTTATAACTTTCTCATTTATAATATTAGTAGGATTTCTGAGTTTGTTTGGATATTAAAATGTTTTTTTTTACATTATTGAGCTTTTTAGGGACTTATGTCCCTACAAGCCACTAGTATTAGTATAAATATGTTTATCAAATCTCCTTTGTAAGTTACATAAACATTTTTTAGTTTTGTTTTGTCTATGAAATATACTTTAGTAGCAGCTACAGTATCAGGACACTTGAACATGCACGTCATTTTTATTAGTCGCTCTAATGAATAATATATTTATATATAACTAGTTATTAGTCTAAATCAATGTAAAATAAGTATTTAAAACTACGTAATTATACTGTTGGACTAGTATTTAGTGAGTCGGTGGCTCAGTCGGTAGCGTCGCGGACTTCGGGCCCAAGGCAGCGATGTCGTGGGTTCGGATCCTGGTCACTGCCGATAACATTTTATCAGTACAGTTCACCTTTGTACTGTACCGGCTCACTCCTTGCTTTGCTGTAAACGATCCACGCACGGGCGCTTAGTCTATGTGGACGGGCATATGCAAGGTTAAAAGAGGCCGCCAACCTCTTTTTTAAAAAAGAAAAGAAAAAAAATGAAACAAATATGTGTCTTTAGATGAATGAAATCTTTATGTATTTAAATTATGATGCCATAATTAAATATTTATAACAAATTATGAATATTTCAGATTATGGCTGACCCTGAAAACAATGAACATTTAGTTGGAGGACTCACACTCATAGACGAGACTGAAAACATCGCAGATGTCGAAGAAGGCAGAAAACTATTGATGAAACATTTAGAGGCTAAATTTGACACCGACCGAGAGGCGTGTGTTGTTAAAGTTAGTCTTCCTGACCTCAAAATTTATCAACAGGTATAAAAAGGAATGCCTTACTTACGTAATTACTTACTCTCAGGGCCATGTATATCTAAGAAGATATTTGGCCGCACCAACAAAGCCTCTCCATCTTGCTCTATCCTCTGCATCCTCCTCAGTTGCTCCTAGTTGCTCCATGTCTTTCTTTACTTGGCTCCACCATTTTAGTTTTGGCCTTCCTCTTGGTCGTCTTCCTTCGGGATTTCTTTGTAAAACTAATTTTAACTTATTTTGCTCCTCTCTTCGTAAAACATGTCCAGCCCATCTAACTCTTCTAAGGCCTTACCTTTTAAAATAGTCCAGCCATTATTTAGAAAAGAACAATTAGTAGTTTTTTTACACAAGAAACAGATTGAGTGGTGATTGATTGACAATGTTGTTCATTAACCGTTTTGTCTCTTGGTATCGAAACGAAAGAACAGCTGATAACTTTTAAATTCATATTCGAACCATTATAGCGAAGACTAGCATCACTAAATCTTTGAAAGCAAGCTCTAAAAAATCAAACGCTGAGGGGTCGGAGCCATAAGAAAGGGTCTTTTCAGTTACTATTCGTCTATCCACTAGATCATCGGCTTTATAACTCAATCGTAAATCTCGGTTGAGCAGGAAGGTTGAAAAAGGGATGTAAATAGGTTATATAATAGTATACTCTAGTTATTTGTGTAACTAGTGAGCAAAGGGAGTAATTGACTCACTCGAGAGAAATACTTACTGGAATGGTTTCTCGAGTGAGGCAATTGCACTTTGGACTCGAGTTGCACATTATATTTTTCCTACAGTTACCATAAAACAAATAAATTGATAAAGAAACGTGACATATTTTTACACAGAAGTAAACTTTTAATATTACATTTAATGATACAACAACAGTACAACAGCTGACCAGCTGATTTACAGCCAGTGCTGCCAACGGATTTCGCGCGCATACGACCTTGTCTGCATGTTACACGCTCACTATTTCGTGCCTTCACGTTGCAAATCTGGAGTGAGTGAGATAAAGTAATTGGAGTGAGACAATGTTAACAGTGAGAAACCATAATTTTGTCAAAATATTGTTCATGAACTGTTTTTAGGTTGTCGCGGGAGTAATGTACCATTATGTTTGGGCCCAGGAGAATTACACCTCTACGTGTAAAGATGGCTCAATGTCAATTGACGGTGGTGACAAACAGGTAACTTAAATACAACGGTAATGTAAAACGTAAACTTTAAAACCCTTCATAGTAACGGTTTTGTATTTTTTTTGTACTGCATATACTCAATACAGTTTAAACTAAAATTTAGTTTGATGTTGCGTGATATGTATTTTGGTTAACCTATTAAAATCCATATGAATCAATTTTAAATGAACACGCAAATAGTAACTAACCATCTCGTCAAGGGATCACTTAATGGATAGAACGGTTTAAAGTTACTTATTAAATGTATCATTGGATTTTGGAATGTACAAGTTTCACATTGATTTTTATATCTTAAATAAACAAATTATTCCCTATGCACTTCAAATGAAAACTGTCAAAAGTAAAACTACCATAAAAATAATGCAATTTACATTATATACTTTAAATTTATATTAACTTCATACCAGAATACACAGCTTTCTTTAGAAAGTTATTTAAGTATGTATAAGTGATTTTATGCAACACCAAAGTACGAGAAATCGTTGTCTTCAAAGTATGGTTGAGCTTACATTAAAAAGTTGATTCTTTAAACATGTTTGGCAGTCACAACCATAATGTTTTTATTCCCAATTATGAACTTTTAGACATTATTAAATTGAATTACTTGATATTTTAAAACGTGAGTTTTTTTACTGTCACCAACAACTGAATTACGCCTTACACAACGGGCCATAATTGATGACATCGTGATATATTTTTTTAAATTTAGTAATATGAGACCATGTAAAATATATGTCAACAGAATTGCATTACAAATTTTCCTCATAATAAGCCAAGTTCTTATAGGCGGTATCGATTTTGAAAGTCATAATTTTCAATAAATTTGGTTGATATAAACCATTCATATACCCTTCATACTCGTATTACTTAATACGAGTATAACTAACAAACAGAATTAAAGTTTGGGAAACATGGGTAATTTAGTAAAAATAAAAGAATAAATTATTTAAATTTTAACCAAAATATCACAACTTACTCATGTTCTATTTTCCAGAAGGTGGAAACAATGTCTAAGAAAGTGGACTGTAAGGCTAAGTATTTCGTACAAAGTTGGACCAACACTAAAAAGCTATTTACACCTGAATGTTAACCAAAGCAAAAACACCTTGGTGAGAAATAATTAAATATGTCCAATAATATGTATGGTTGATCATTGCTTGGTGGTTGACATTGACAATCCTTTCTACAATAAATCTTTGCAGAAGTAATACAGTGTTTTGTGTTCCCTTTGTAAGTGTTAGTAATACTCGTATTATAAGATATGATATCAAAAATTGTTATAGGCTTGGTGTTTGAAAAATTAGTTAAGTGTGGTTACAATCATAATACAAAATTATCAAAAAATCAGCTATTTCTTCAGACAATTTCTTAGTACCTAGGCCTGTAGTATATTTGGGGAAATATTTATTTTATTTCATATTTGATAGTTCATGTAGGTTTCTTGAAAATAGTTTGTTTTGATTTAGTTTGAGTAAGATGTATCTATATTAATATTAATGTCTGGTATTAATATATTTAAAAACACGAATTTGTGTACAATAGATTCTTTCATTTACTAGCTATTGTTGTCCTGTTTGTTGTATCTAATATCTTGTTGTAGTTTCAAAGTAAAAACTAGATTTATTCTATTTAAATGCCTAATATATCTTTCTAAACCGGAATCGACGTTGTAGGGTTAGCATTATCTGAAACAAATGTTCCTTATAAACAAGTTCATAACGGGATCTCAATTAAATTGTATTCACTTAATAAAGTAATAAAACGTAAGCTAACAGCATTGAACAAATCTATTTACAAATAATTTACAAAAGGTATCTATGCTTTTGAAGTCACAATCCCAACTTAAATACATTGTTATGTCTTACATGGACATTTTACTTAAGACATTTTCCTGCCAATTATTTAATCATATACATTGAAGGGGAAATTTTTAAAAATTGCTTAGGGTTCAAAGAAAACATTAGTTTCAAGATGTTTTTGAAGGTCCACTTCAAAAGGTTATTTACCCTTCTTCTCCTGAGAAATTTGCTGCGGCACTCGAGAGAAATACAAGGTAAAACGTAATCCACTTACTTGCCATCTGTTACACTACAAGCGATTTTGTCATTTCTTTTCATCCAGTTAATGCTCACATTTAAGATCAATAAACTATGTTGCACATAAGCAATTCAGTTATTTCACAGTTTATCTTTTTGTATATGAATTGTCTGGATAGCCAAGAAGGTTAAAATGATCTCTTTCAAAGCTGAAGGTCGTTGGTTCAATTATTCCAAGCTAGACAATTTCTTGACCAAGATGTCATTTCTCATTAGTCACTAACAAGACTACAAGCTCGCGCCACTCCTACACCCATCTCCATTCATCATTGGCTTAAAATACCTACTTTGTATTGTCGTCATTTCAATGAAAAGTATAAGTAAGTATGAATTACCGATGCTATCCAAAAACTTCGACATGGATGGTAACAAGACGTGGGTTTGGACAGTTCCTTTTCAAAACGTATAAAGTGCTATCAGAGTAGAAACACACACAAAACACAACAAACTGGTAAAATTCATTCGATGTGTATTGTGTACTTTATAACGTGTGTGCCGTTATAAAGTAAAAATATGGAATAGTAAAATTATATTTATAATTTATAGATAATTTGAAATGAATGTCTTCAGTTGGCACCTGTGTACTTAGATAACTTAACATAAGATAGAGTACTCATTACCAAAACTTCTGATAAAGGCATATTATGAAAAAGTTAGGATTATGATTTTAAATGAATAAAAAACTCGTTAGTAACCTTTTAATATTGGATTCAAATTAAATGGATTAATTCAATTAGTGTTTAAAATCGATTGGCTTTTTAGTTAGTTGCTGGGGTTTTCTACCTGGCATCAATGATTAAAAACGTATCAGTGCAGTTCATATTTGTACACTTTCACTGGACTTTTCCCATTTAACATTGCTTGATCAGTCTGACGCACAAACCTATGACATCTATGTGTAGACAAGAAAGTGCAAGATTAAATTAGGCCCCTAACTTCTTAATACAGCAACAAGCGATTTATAGATGAACATTATGACGAACCTCAATTTACCTGATAGAGAATTGACTAAGGAACCTTCCTTCTGTACCTGATGTAAGAAACTTTTTACAACATTATTCATATAATCTGGTACAGCGTGGATCGCATTAAAACTTTGCCGCCAAACTTGTATTCCTTCCTGTGGATTAAAGTTTCAAAGGAAAACTTCCTAAGTGAGTTTTGTCCGGCAATAACTCTAAACTGAAACTAATCACAAAGTTAAGTTCTCAGCATGTTTTGAGGTATTATACCTTATTAAAATCATCAAATATATATTGATTATATGATTATTAAATTCTATAGCCATTATAGGTAGGTATAGATATTTGCTGGTTTACCCATCATAATTTTGTCTGACTTGTATTACATTATTATCTTTAAATGATTACCTTTAAAGCTGTCTGAACAAAATATTATACCATGAAGAGTTTTTCAGTTCACGAGTTAAAATTTTTCATTTACACTAATTGGAGAAACCCGTAGTGTTGTCTTTTTACTAGGCATGTAGTTAATTTAATTAGTATTTATTGTTAGTATTTAAATTAGTTTAAATTTAGTTTTATTAAAATAGGGCTAGGGTTTTTAAGGACGCTAAAACATTATAGAAACCTTAAATTAATTTATAAATAATAAAAAATAATATGCCTACGTTTTAAAAAAAGCATTTTAACAAAGTTCGTTTGGTGAAACGTTTTATTTCTGGAATTGTAGGGTAAATGTTTCCCGTTAAAGATGGAATATGAAAAAAAGTATTATCTCTAAGAAAATGTTATTTAGAAACTGGAATAGTCTAGGGGCACCTTTTTTAGGTAAATTAACAAGAATTTACCTGTAATAAATATTTTTGTAACTCAATTGCTCATATATATTTGACAAAATAACAAAATATTTGCAAAGTTTATATTATGTTAATATCTTTTTGTCTAAAATTTAAAACAGTTAACAGCGGAACTCAGTGAACGACAAACTTTCAAAGAAACTCAAACTATTAATTAAGATAAAACATTTAAGCTACACATGGTCAAAAACTTTATGCACAGGATACACTTTCCTAAAGGGCAATTTTTCCTTCTCCCTTTTCCGTGGTTCCTAGAAAGCTGTAGCCAAATATTTATTTTGTGAATCAAACCACCTTCTTTTCCTTATTCAACGCGTATTCTTGAACGGTTGAGTAGCTAGGTGGATTAATTTTCTTTATTGAGAATGGCCATTATTTGAAAATAATTTCAACTTGACTAAATTAGGGCATTGCTATGTCGTTTAATATAGCGATATATATATATAAATGTTTAAATTTTGCGGTTAATTCAATTCAAATAAAAAAGAAGTAAATTGTTTATTGAAAACTATTGGAGATTAAAACAATCACATCTTCTACTCTCTATATGTACAATATTCAGTTTACTAAAGGTTGGTCCTCTGAAACATCTGGAGCTCATATGTTATATATTACATGTTAATGTTCATTCGGCTGGATTTTAAAGGGCTATATATTCAGCAATTCTTTTTTTTTTCTTTACCAATTTATTTGGAACTGCATATAACTAACAAATAAATAGTTAATTCTTGTTTACAGATAGATTTCTCATCAGGCATTGATTCTTCAGTAATATGATGCGGTATTTTCCATACACTCAACAGCAAATATTTTTAAGGTACATTCGTAACGTGAGAATCAGTTCGCTCGTTATTCGTGTCAATGCGTCAATGAACTTAAACCAATACTGTTTGGACTGAAATTTTGAAGGTTGTATAAAAGATTCAATATTTGCAAATACAGAATGTGTTTTATAGATTATAACGGCAAAGCTGCATGTAAGTAGATTGTCTGCAAAACACGTGGTGACCAACTATAACATATTGCTCAAGTTTCCAGCCATACAACTTCTACATATTAGTGTTGGTTGTAACCCTAGTACAAACTATTTAGTTATAATCACTTTAGTTTGGATTGAAGCATTTTACAATTAAAAGTCAATTTGCAGGATAGTTGGTTATCCGTCAATCCGTATTATACCATTAATTAATTTTCATACTAAACAGTTTCAGACATTTCGAGAAATACAGGCAAGAAGAGTTTTCTAATCATCGTAAAATTTCTCCCTATAGATTGCTAGAAATGAAATTTGGAATTAAATGTCAATTAGCATATAAATGGATCAATGTTGAAATAAGTATTTATTTTAGAGCCAAAAAAGTATTTTCAAAAATATACGACCGCCATTTTCCAATATAGCCGACAACTTCAATATATCTTATGGAACGCTATGTTTTATGATTGTTTTAGAATGTAAATGCAACTGAAAAACGTATTTTATTTTTTTCTGTTTTTTTTGTATTTCAGGCTATATAAAAACAACTTAAAAAAAGGAGAGAGCCCCATAAGAATTTATCTGTCCTTCCCATAGTGAAAAAGGTAACCATTGGTTCACTTTAGGTGATATTCAAATCGTATAATGTTTATACCTTTATGAAAATAAAAAAAATTTCGACAAAATTAATCAATCGTTGAAAGCTATTAAATAAAGTTGGTTGTACAATGTGTTTGGTTATGACACGTTCAAACTAATAAGTTACGTGTAAATATTAACTCAAATGATTCAAACGTACCTGTTGATACTTATTACACAGTACCAAGAAATATGTATTAAAAAGGGAATTTTATCCCGGCAAGTATTAATTTAACAAGTAGCCATGATTTTAGCTCTTTTCAAGTTAAATATAATGGATTAGATTTTTTTATTTACTTGAAGCTCTCTTAGTAGTATTATAAGCGTACTGGGCATTCCTGTGTTTTTAGATGGAAAATTTCTTTATTATTTGCAAATTTGTAATATTATATTATAATTAAACGCATTAAGTTTATACTAACAAATGTATCATGAGGTGGAGTCTAAATGTTAAGTAAAGTAAAAATGTCACATCAATAAATAGCCAGTAATACATGTAATGAAATGTAACCAAACAAATTCATAATGTACTTTGTCTCAATGACGCTTAAAGACGCCTGCAGCATATCGAGCTAACTTTATATTTTTTTATTTTTTTTTTCCCCAATGGCATAGCCACTTTAAGGCGAAACTATACATTTACAACAAGAAAGAAAACATGCGATGACTAGCGATAGTTACAATAATAAATATTGT